GGGAAAAAAAGGACTTCCTACATACTAAGTTTAGAAAAAATGTATGTCAAAGCAATTAATCCCACAGCACAAGTACAGAGAAGATGGGTCCTAGAAGTAGTTGAGAAAACAAAAAACAAAACAAAACAAAACAAAACAAAACAAAAAGCCTATTCTTGGATGAGAGTCCAATAGCTGGAATGGATAGTGTAAGTTCCTAGTTAGTTAGCTAGTATTTTATATGATTGTTCACGCTCAAGTGAGCGGTAAGAAAAGAAAAATCCACCACAGGAGGAAACATGTTCCGTGGAGTACTTCCATCCAAATTCTCTTTGAAGAGCAACTCTCTGTGTCAGTCTGACCCAGCAAAGTCAGGCTAGGTGCATCACTGGTGGAGGTGTCAATTTTTGAACCAGGAACCAGAAAAAAGTTCAAGTGTCCATTTCTTTCCCTTCTCAGTTACTTCCTGGTTTCTTTGTTTTGTTTTCCAGTTAAATAGAGATGATGTGAAGATACATATATTTCTTTACAGACTACTGGTTTTAACTTTAGTTATTGGTTCCTAAGAAATGTCATGGCAAAACTCTTTATTATACAATAACCTTTGGGAAACTTATATTGAGTTTTTTAGGTTCAATTTCAACACATAGGGCAAGTTTTAAGAGCGTAGAAGTAAAACGATCATTCTTCTAATTTTTTTCCCCAGAATTTCTGCTCTGTAACCTTATAGCCAGAACAGGCTTTTATTTTTTTATTTTTTATTTTTATTTTTGCTTTTGTCAATTGTAGGTTCTAAATTTAAAACTCAAGTTGAATTTTTTTATTTAGCTTTGAATTCATTTTAGCTTTGAGAGCAGTATATTTAGCTACTGCCAGTTCACCCTTGGTAGGACTAGTAGCTAAGCCATTTTTTTTCTCTTAAAATTCTATGAATATTCTTATCCTAGAACACAGGTTTCTCTAGATCAGAATTAATTTTCTGTCACTCAAATGAAAGGGAAATCTTTCATACACACTGAAATTTATGTGAAACTAAGAAAAACACATTTGAGAAATATCTGAAATTATTTATAAAATATAGCAATAAAAAGGAACATTTTTCTAAGCCACATATCAAGTGCTTGCTCTTTTACCCATCATTCAAAATATAAAGTTAATGTTATGAAACAGTGTAAGAGCTTAAAACATTGCATTATGTACACATTGGTATAGAAATTCCTGAATTATTTATTGCTTTAATAGCATATCCAAAGTTGAAAATGAGCATTTTTGTGGATTTCACTTGTTTCCATTAGAAAGCTCCATATTTCTGCTCAGTCTCTTAGTTGGCTGAACACTCTTTGTTACCTTCTTTCCTTGACTTTGGAAGTCAATTTCCTTGTTAGCTCCTTTCTGTATCACCCGAATCCTTTGCACTTTGCTGAAATTCTGGTCATGGCTATTCATGTCTAGAAACATAGACAATTGCATAACACTTCAATTCTATTATTTCTTTCAATGTTTCATTACTTCTTTTTTTTTTTTTTTCTTTTCTTTTTTTTTGAGAAGGAGTCTTGCTCTGTCATCCAGGCTGGAATGCAGTGGCATGATCTCGGCTCACTGCAACCTCCACCTCCCAGGCTCAAGTGATTCTCCTGTATCAGTCTCTCGAATAGATGGGACTACAGTCATGTGCCACCATGCCCAGCTAATTTTTGTTTATATTTTTAGTAGAGACAGGATTTTACCATGTTGGCCAGGATGGTCTCGATCTCTTGACCTTGTGATCCACCTGCCTTGTCCTCCCAAAGTGCGGGGATTACAGGTGTGAGCCACTGTGCCCAGCCCCACTTTAACTTTTTAATCACTTAATATTCAAGCCTAGATCCTGTGGAATTGCAATGTTTTTAGTGAAAACAAGTATAATAATGCATGACTTTGTAAGAGAACAAGTTAAATTCTTAAGATGGTGTTGCTTGGGGAAACTAACATTACAGACTGATTCTGGGTAGCTGGCAGGTGAAGGTTCAAAGGTCAAAACCAAGCTTATCATTTCAAATGGCAAAGTTTAAAGGAGCATCCCTCCAACTACTAACTAACGCATTCCAGTTCTGTAAAAGCAGAACTACCGTTTGATCCAGCAATCCCATTACTGGGTAGATACCCAGAGGAATATAACACATTCCACCATAAAGACTCATGCACACAGATGTTCATTACAGCACTGTTCACAATGGGAAAGACATGGAATCAACACAAATGCCTATCAATGGCAGACTGGATAAAAACAATGTGGTACATATAAGGCATGGAATATTAAGCAGCCACAAAAAAGAATGAGATCATGTCTTTTGTGTGAATGTGGCTGGAGCTGGAGGCTATTATTCTTAGCAAACTAATTCGGGAACAGAAAACCAAATACCACGTGTTCTCACTTACAAGTGGGAGCTAAATGATAAGAACTTATGAACACAAAGAAGGAAACAGGAGACAGTGGGGTCTTCTTGAGGGTGAAGGGTAGAAGGAGAGTGGAAGGAAAATTAACTCAGACTTTAATTTTCCTCTATCCCTTCACTGTCAGGAAAATCTGATCATATTCGTACTTTGGAACCTCATGTGTGTTGATATTTCTACTAATCAGCATTAAATTATTTCATAAATTACTTACATTGTCCTGATCTATATAATGCTTAAAAGGATCAACTAGAGTTAGTCCTTCTAATTGCATTAATTTAGATGCAGAAAAGGTGACTATTGGGTACTGAGCTTTGTACTGGGGAGATATAGTAATATGTACAACAAACCCCTGTGACATGTGCTTATCTGTGCAACAAACCTTCACATGTCCCTCCAAACCTAAATAAAAATTTTTCAAAAAAGAAGACATGAAGTGAGGGACAGAGGAAAAAGCAGCTCTGGACACTCTGAAGAGGAGCTACAGAATTTAGATGTGATAAAAAGAGAGAGTTAGCCTGACCTAGAAAAGGCACCATTTCCTCAGGTAGAACTGAGGAAAGACTGTTTTGTTTGTGTTGTATGTTTTGGTTGTCGTCTATTTGGGGAGTTGGAGAAATTGAGAGTTTATGCTTAAAACTTATTGTATATCGTTTGCAGTCTGTTAAAAGTGTATTTCATTGTAGGTAATTCTTATCACAAAGTATAGGTTAAATAACTCTTACATCATTTTTATTGATGAGTTGTAATGTCAATAACCTTTCCAGGCATTATGATAGTTTTAGACTAAGTGGGACCTCTTAAACTATCACAACAATGATTTTGGCAGCCAGTTTGGGCAAAACAAAAGGGCAGGCATCGCACTGGAAAGGCTTACTCTAATATAAGTTTGTTACTGGTTTCATTAACAAATTGAGGGTCCTAAATTGTCTTCTTATAAAATTTATGCCTAAACTCAAACTCACAATATTTTCCTCAAGCCATTTTCTTCTGTATTTTTTCCTTTATCAAGAAAAAAAATCAAGTTTATTCTTCCAGTTGTTCAGGACGAAAACCTTGGTGTCATCCTGTTTCCTGATTGTTTTCTCACGGCCCCATCTGGCCCCTCAGCAAATCATCTTGCCTTTTTTCCCCAGACATCTTCAGAATATGACCATGTCTCATCATCCCTTCTGTTCAAGCCTCCATCATCTCTGGCTGGGATTATTGCTTCCTAGCCATGCTCTCTGCTTTTTTCCTACTTCTGTCACTCCTCAATCATGCCTGTGCTCAAAACCTCCAAGGACTTTCCTTCTCACTCAGCAACGTTCAAAGCATTGCAATGACCGACAGGTCCTATACCATCTGCCATCTGGTACCCTTCTGACTTCACTTGCTGCTATTCCCCTTGCTCAGTCCCTCCAGCCAAAGTGGCCTCTTCTCTGTTCCTGGATCAAGCCATAACGCTTTTATTTCTGGGGCACTACTTTTCCTATTTCTTCTTCCTGGAACGGTCTTCCCATAGACAGTCATATAGCTGCAGGCTTGTCTTAGTCTATTCTTGCTGCTACTACAGATTACCACAGACTGGATAATTTATAAAAAAACAGAAATTTATTTCACACAGTTCTGGAGACTGGGAAATCCAAGATCAAGAGGCCAGCATGTTCATTGCCTGGCGAGGGCTGGCTAGCTCTGCTTCCAAGACGGCACCTTGCTACTGCCTCCTCCAGAGGTGACAAAAATGCTGTGTCCTCACATTGCAGACAAGCAGAAGGGCAAAAATGGACTAGCTCATTTCTTCTTGCCCTGTTATGAAGTCACTAATCCCATTCATAAGGGCTCTGCCCTCATCTAAAGAGCCCATCTCTCAATATCATCACCTTGGGATTTAAGTTCTAACATGAATTTTGGAGGGTACACGTATATTCAAACCATAGCAAGGTCTTTACTCAAAAATCGCCTTCTCATGGAGGCCTTCCCAGGACTTCCTATGTAAAATTTCAACCCAGTGTCCCCACCCCAATGGTCGTTCCCCTCCCACAATACTTTTTCTCCTTAGACTTAGTCTATGTCACTATCTAATCCATTTAACTCATTTATCTTGTTTATTATGTGTTTCCCTTATTGGACTTTAAGCTCCAGGAAGACAGGGATTTTTTTCCTGTCTTGTTTTGTTCACTGCAGTTTTGCCAATACCTGTCACATAGTAGGTACCTAAAACATTTTTGTTAAGTGTTCCTGGATTTTATTTAGATAAAATTGAGATTATAAACTTTCTACATGAAAGGATAGCAAAAATGTTTTCCATTTCCAAAGCTGTTAGGTATTCAGTCAGTCCTAATTAGCAGTTCTGAAATCAATTTTGATTATCTGACAACATCATGTCCAAACTGAGGTATTTATACTTTCTGTTTATCCCACTTTCTGGAACATTTGATAGCAGCTTTCTACCACAAACACATTTTTAGATTAAAATTACTTTGCCCCCTGTGGTTATCTGTGGGCACTTGTAACAAATTGTTTGCTAGTGCTGAGTGAGCCAGTGCTGATTGGCCATTGAGAACTCTAGCAAACTTTAAATTTCAGCAAAAGGCTCAGAGACTGCTAATCTTGCAGAAAGAAGCCAGGTATTCGGAAGGTAAAAGATAGCAGGTAATTTGGCTTTCATGTTCTTGGCGACAAAGAGCTTTATATTCTAGTTGTTCATATTTTTAAGATGTGTGCCACCCAGGTAGGTTTTTATTACCTTTGAAAATCTTTTCTACTGAGCACAACCGTGTAATATTTAGTGCTTTGTTTTATAAAACAGGAAATGTGTTACCATGCTTTAGAAATCATCAACTAAAATTGATGATTTGATAGCAACTTTCTCTTTTTTTATATTATTAGCATTATTAAGATCCACAGTAACTCATACTTTAATTTTCCTCTATCCCTTCACAATCAGGAAAATCTGATCATATTCATACTTTGAAACCTCATGTATGTTGATATTTGTACTAATCAGCATTAAATTATTTCATAAATTACTTACATCATCCTAATACATACAATGCTTGGAAGGGTCAACTAGAGTTAGAATTTAGATCCTTCTAATTGCATTAATTTGGAAAAGCATAACCTAGGATTTTAGAATATATTTAATAGTTATATTTATTTCTCCAAATACCAGCTTTTACCTTGAAATATGTAAAGATCGCAAGAATATTTCAATTATTTTTCCTTAAAAATATGTTCTTCATGGAATCTCAGAGTGACATAAATTTAAAATATTCATCTTGGTTGCTATAGTTTGTGTGGCAGTTAGTAAAATATTATATAATGTTCATCAAAACCAACAGATTGGCAATCCAAAGACATGCTGACTTTTTTCCAATCTGATGGCTACTTAAGGGAGCTCACTAGTTCCTGTTGGTATATTTACCAAAACATAAACAAATACCTTTATCTATAGCTAAATGTTAGTGTTTTGAACATGATTGTTGAGCTCAATATAAAATATGATTTGCCTTTAAGTCAACTGCACATGGATTTTTCTGTAATAAGATAAAAGGGTAGAAAGTTATTTAAGGTGGCAGAGAGTCTTGATTAAGAATATTGGATCTACAGCCACATTGCCTGGATACTAATCCTAGTTCTGCTCCTTAATATTTGTGAATTCTAAGGCAAATTGTTTAATCTTTTTGTGTCTATTTCCTAATCTATAAAACAGGTATAGTAATGCCACCTAACTTGTAGGGTTGTTGTGAGGCTTAAATAATTGAATGCATGAAAAATGTTTAGACCCAGTGCTTGGCTCATTTTAGTATTCAATACATGTTAGATATTAACGTAAGTGTTGCAAAAATTAGTTCAGTCTCCAGCCCATGGATGGCTACTAATTCAGACACATTGCTAATGAGCATGAGACACAGACTAGGGCACCAGCCGGAGGCAGATAAGCATTCCCAGAGGGCAATCTGCTACCCTGACAGACTTAAAGTGTGTTATGAGCTGCTACATCAACTTAATGTCATTTTGAATTACACAAATAATTAAATGAAACAATCTCTTTCTAAAGACAAGAGGAAGAAGAACTGATGATAGAACAAATAAATATGTGTATAAAATATATTTCTATCAATTGACTTTACTGTTTTAGTGATACTGAGTAATTTTCATTTTCACATTGGAATAACTAGACATATGAAAGCTCTTAGATTAAAATGTCCACACTCAGGTATAAGTAAACTATGCATGGTCTGTACACACATACACACAAAAGGAAATGAACTGTCAAAGGGAAGGATGTTTATATATCCCTCTGTGTTTTGTCTTTTCTTATGGCTGCAGTTTATAACTGGTAATGCTTTGCGGTAAGATATTGTTGTCTTTTCACAGAGATTCTCAAACATGCGAGTTTTCTGTGTGGGACTGCTCCTTTTCAGCGTGACCTGGGCAGCACCAGTAAGCATCTACAAATTCAATTATGTTTCAGATAATCTCTTGCTCACTTCATTTTTCTTTCAAGCAATGTCTATTTAAATTAATGGCATCTACCTAATTCAGTTATTTTTAAAAGTACCAAAAAAACAGAAGCATCCAGCCTCAACACACGTAACCAAGGAGCTTCTCAGTAAACGTGTGCTGAATTATGAGATATCACCACATTGCCTTTTAAGGAAGATGAAAAACAGATTTTTTTAAAAAACCAGGAGGCAGCCATGGCATTTCAAATCAGCTGACACTAAGGAGTGATACTCAAAGACTCAAATTATGACATGGCAAAATATCCTTTTAATATTTTCCTGAAAACTTAAAGAATTTGACGTGGATGTTTTAAAGCTAATCAACTAGATTCAGTAAACAGATGAAAATACAAAGAGACAAGAACTTTCCTGTATTTCTTGCAACACGCCAATATTGTGGGATCCTACTCGTGATGGTGTCTTTATCAGATGGGACATAGTACTCCCAAGCTTAACCCAAATTAAGCCCCTATTTCCTTGGGTGTCATTTCTTCCCTCTGACTCACCCAGCTGAATATTCAGGATGTGACCAAATTATCTTGTGAAAATGCTGAGTGTTAGTTATTTTTTGCAATGCAGACACAGTGCTAATTAGATAATGTCTGAACAGCATCCTAACTTATCAGAATAACATTTTTGGTTGGAGAACCATGGAAGCAAATAGTCATCCCTTTGCCAATCATACTTAAATATAGATCCCGAGTGAGTGGGTGACCAGCAGAGTAACTAGGTTGACAAGGATGACCCGGGCAGCAGAGGGCCTCATGGAGGGCAGTAGAAGTTGGGCAGTGTATTCCCTTCTCTGCATGCACTCTGTGCAACAAGAGTGTGTAATACAATCGTGTGGGGACTGTACTGCTCACAACACACATGTGTGAGGCCCCATGCACAGACCTCACTCAATCAAGGCCTAGAGGCTCAGATGCCTCTCTCACCACTAGTGGTGGAAGAATGAGCCTTGCTGACCCAGCTCAAGTCAGCCAGCTGAAGATTTTATTTTGAGCAACATATTCCAAGAAACAGCCGGAATGGTGCTTTCTCATCATTTTCTAGTAAGTGTGCTATGTCAACATCCATTCAGTAACCACTGATCAAAAGAGGATGCCAGCTTTCCTCCCCAGAGGCAGACAATGCCATCTCCATTACAGGGCCACATTCAAGCCCAGGACATCTGCCAGCGGGTGTAGCAGGAAAAGGGGGGAATGCGTATTTCAAATGCAAGCAGCTCAGCAAGGACATAGAGACAACATTTGTAATTGTGGATGGTTAAATGTGATGTTTTCTCCCAGGTAGATAGATGCCATTTTAGTAATTACCTAAATTTCTTTAGCTTGTTTTAGTACATATACACCATGGAATATTATGCAGCCATCAAAAACGATGAGTTCACGTCCTTTATAGGGACATGGATGAACCTGGAAACCATCATTCTCAGCAAACTGACACAAGAGCAGAAAATCAAACACCGTATATTCTCGCTCATAGGCGGGTGTTGAACAATGAGAACACATGGACACAGGGAGGGGAGCACTACACACTGGGGTCTGTTGGGGGGAAATGGGGGAGGGGCGGGGGGTGGGGAGGTGGGAAGAGATAGCATGGGGAGAAATGACAGATACAGGTGAGGGGACGGAAGGCAGCAAAGCACACTGCCATGTGGGTACCTATGCAACAATCTTGCATGTTCATCACATGTACCCCAAAACCTAAAATGCAATAAAAAAAAATATATATATATATATATATACTTTAAGTTTGGGATACATGTGCAGAACATGCAGGTTTGTTACATAGGTATACATGTGCCATAGTGGTTTGCTGCACCCATCAACTCATCATCTACATTAGGTATTTCTCCTAAAGCGTCTCTCCCCTAGTCCCCCACTCACTGATAGGCCCTGGTGTTTGATATTAAATGACAGATTGGTGGCTTAAGAAATTAGTACATACTGAGCCACTTACATATGACTTGGAATTGTAAGCCAAATTCCAAATGATTCTAAAAGGGAAGAAAATAAATGTTTATTAGGCTATGCAATTTAGTTACTATTCATCAAGATACAGTTATATTAGAAAGAATTTGTTATAAGTCACAATAAATTAAAACTGTACTGAGGTACTCTATATTGTCAAGTATGTTTCTAAGACATCTATGTGTGTGTGTTCTGTAAAAATATGCCTGATCTCCCATACTATCATTTCTTTCTTTTGCTTCATATCTGCCCAACTCATTTTTATGCTTTCTTCTTCCTATAGTCCAATTTCCAGAACTGTTTGCACTGTTTGTAGTCTCAGTTTATATTCACGTGATCCTATAAGAATCAACATAAGAAATGCAATAAAGGATACAACTATAAAATGTGATTTGAAAGTAATTAATATGAACTTTAGGAACATTTCCTTTTATTACTAAATGCTTTTTCATATTTAGTCATTAAAAAATTTATTATTTTAACCCTGGGACTTTGAGGCAGAAGATTTAAATTAAAATATCTTCTCTACTTCTGCTACAACTACCAGCTGTGTAAGTGGAGGCAATTTTGTTTCTTCCACTGCGTATCTTATAAAGGTTACTTTGGGACTCAAATGAGATTACGTATACAAAATCAGTTTAGGAACCGTAAAGTGTTCTATAAATAGAAAGTGTTATTGACAAGCTATTGTTATTTTCCAGAATGGAATAGAATATTAAGCAGCTATGCCTTGGAGCCCAGCCATGGAGGAGGTGCTTTCTAAACTTCTGAGTTCATATTTTGAAGATGATTTTGTCTGCCAGACTCCAGTCTGGAAAACAAAATCCACAGAAGGGAGCTCAGTAGAGGGACTTTCTAAGGGAAGCTAGAGTAAAGTATAAGGAAGAACAGAAAGGCCAATCAGGGGTGGTGAGACCACCCAAGGATCGAAGCTACTACCACCCTTAGGGCTGGAGGGAAAAAAAAAAAGGTGCTGCTCCTAGGCCCTTGGGTTGGAGAACTAGGGCCACAAAGAACATGCACCCAGTTCTAGAGATGCAGCCCCAGACAGAGAGAACCGAGAAGGACACACCCTGGCTTCTCTCTCCTTCTACCCTCCAGTCTCATGGCAGGCTGCCTTCACTCAGACCCAGTCTGAACACAGAGAGGAAATGTAGGAATCAATTCAGATTGAGCTGGAGGTATAAAGGAGCTGAGAGCAAGCAGGGACACTCCCAGTGTCGTAGTGCAAGGAACAACGTGTCTGTATGAAACAAAATATAGAAGCTTAAGGCTTCTTCAGGAAGAATACTTTCCAGGTAAATAGGACAGCTGGCCGAGGTGGCCCTCTTTCTTTTTATCTGTTTATTTAATCTTTCCCTTAAGGAGTTCTCTCTTTCATATGATTGATCCACCGTGATGCCTGCTTCCGCTGTCGCACACCCATTCAAACACAGCCCAGTCCCGCCTGTTGGTTCCCGGTGCCACATCTGAGATAGGCTAGGAGTTTCTAAAAGAAAGAGGTAAATGAAAAATACCAAGAATGAAAGAATTGTTACACCTGTTCCTTTCATAAAACACTTGCTCCCAGATTTTAGGGTCCCTGTTCGACATGCTTTCCTGTGGTATGTAAACTTCAGCCGAAAGGCCTGGGAGAGACAACGTGCCTGGTCTGTTCTTTCTTCATTTCTGGCCTTTCTGCGCTTCAGTAGCTACCCCTCACCCTCAGCTCCCCTCAGGAAATTTTGACATTCTATGTCAAACCAAGAGAAAGAACTTGTCCTAATCTGCTGGCCGCCTCTATTTTCCCTTCTCAGAATGAAATGTCTGGCAGCAGTGAGGTTTGATCCTTGGGTGTGATCCTACCCCTCACATGAACGGCTTTGGTTTGACTCTCTGTGGGCCTTCAGCTGCATCATATCTTAATTCAACATCACAATTACTCAACTTATATAATGAATGCCCACATATAATTTAAATCATCGAACTCTGATTTTAGCTCACTTATATTTAACAATTCCCAGTTTGCCAGTGAAAACTTCTTCTTCAGTGGATTCCAATGGCAGCCAAGCTCCTTCATCTGGGGTGCCAATCCTCCCCCTCCCCTCGACACTCACTTAGCGGTTGTCTGAGCTTGAATCCAGTTCTGCCGTGGAGACATCTCCCTCTGGGGGAAGAAAGCTGGCACTGTCTTTTGTAATACTGAAGCAAATATTAACGCAATGAGTGTGTCCATCTTCTTTTGGTTAGAATGATTTTCCACATTGAATAATACGACCCAGGGAGAGAAAAATCAATGAAATGTTTGTTTGAAGAAGTCAATGAAATAGAATGTTCTAGTGGGTGAAGTTTTGTTTCTCGTTTCCTTTCAGACATTTCGACCACAGACTGAGAAAACTGAGCAAAGCTGTGTGGAAGAGCAGAGGGTAAACAGAACTAGGCTTCTCAAATAACTCTATTTTGGCTCTGCAAAGAAAAACTCAGTAAGAGAAAAGTGTAACTGTCAAAACAGTCCTGGGCACTCCAAGTGGAAGTGCAACATGATACAACATAAGGTTGGCACTTTCTAGTTAATCAGGTATTGTAATTCACACACAGTGTGTGACAGAAAAGAGAAAAACATTGTGAATAGAGATTTATTTCTCTCCAATGTGATATCTTTCTTCAAATGAAACAATGCTTTGCCAGGCAACCTTCACGGGGCTGAGTGAGTAAGAATTTGGGAACATTGCTACCAGCAAACAATGTTTTCCCGCAATGCACCTGACAAACACTTGGCTCTTGGCATGATAAATAAGGGAGTAAAGGGGAGGGAGGTTAACAGGTCTTCATGGGGAATTCTGTCTCCACAGAGTCAGCTTTCCGTGTGTATCCAGTTAAACGAATCCTCCCAGCTTTGCATGCCACCAAATTGCAGCTGGCTTCTGCCTATCACAGAAAAATACGTTCTAAGAACTAACAATCTTCTGTACTTTATCTCAGCTGAAAATTACAAAGGCCAACATTGCCAACTAATGAGCCTGAATGCCCGTGCTGTGACTTTTACCAGTTAGACATAAGACATGAATGTTGTAAAACCTGCCTTTCTCCTGGTCCCCTCACCCTCCCATCTGAAAACACTTCCACATGCTCCATTTCCATAGAAATTTAGTAATAAAGTTGATCCATCCTAGGACAGAAAGCAGTTGACAGGCCCTTAGTGAAAACAGATTCAGAGATCTGTAGAAAAGAGAATGACCAAGTGGCTGTCTCCGAGCTGGCTGACATGCACCCTCTTGTGGTGACGAGAAGTACTGCCATTTGTCAGAGGCAGAATTCAACTTCACCCAGATTTTAAAGTTTCTTATATGATCTCAGAGAGCCCAGAAACTTCTTCGTAAGAGAAAAAAAAACCCGTCTTAACATAACGTTGTGTTTTTATAGATAACATACAAGGGTCACCATGAGAAACAAGGGTTTTATGTTTTTAAGTATGTTTACATGTCACCTGGGAAGGAAAATCAAACTGACAGTAAAGGTAAGCTGAATCTCTGAATGACCATTCTTAGCATGAGCCAAACTCTGGACTAGACCTAGAGGAAAATGCAGGGGAGGCCAAGTTTACTTCTGCCTGCTCTGGGGTTTCTGTCTTATGGCTGGCACGTTTGTCCTTCCCCTCAGTCCCTAGGCTCCTCGAGCCACTCTACGACAGAACTCTGGTCCCAGAATCTTCCTGATCCCCATCCCATGCCTTGGCCCACATCTCGCTCTGCTTCAGGACCTGCAGCTGCAGGTGTGATACTAGAGGACCCCAGATGCCCATGGACTGCTGTGTTACTGCTTCTGAGTAATGTCTGGTGTTTTAGAAGGAAGTTTTCTTGACATAGTCTACCATATGCTCTAATGGTGGGGATCCCAGCAGGGCATGGCTAAGGGGAGAAACCATTTTGGCCTAATGAGTGACACATTTTACTGTCTCTTAAATTCATCCCATGGATAACTCCATCTGTGTTGGGCTGCTCAGAAGAAAAAGAATGAGGCCCTTGTCACTACAGTGACAATAATTCTTTTCACTCAGTCCCTTCTTGCAGATTCATGGGCCAAAGGGGCTGGAAATAGCTTGAAATGCCATCAGCAAAAGGGCTATTTACTTTTTCCAAATCTGCTTTGATTTCCCATGGAAGTAATAGATTCCCTTCAGAATGCTACTTTCTTCTGCCATCAGTATCCTTTAGATGGCATCTCTAAGACTACATCTAACTGTAAATAAGTTAAAATGCACTCAACTGTATGTTGAGTTCTTACTAGTGTGTAGGACATTATGTGAGATTAAATGACTGAGAAAACAAATTCTTTCTCTCCAGGATCTTAGAGCTAGAAAAGAAACAAAAGGCACTTACAAAAATTACTGTGAAACAAGACAGAATGTGGGAAGTCCTATGCGAGTAGTACGCAGAAGAAATCAAAATATCATGTGTTAGGGGCCTGGAGTAGAAAGAAATTAGTTCCTGGCCTGGTGTGCAGGGAAAGATACATAATGGAAATAATTGCTCTGGGCCATGGAGGATGAGTAGGATTTGAGCAAACAGAAGTGAGTGGGTGAGGCCATTCTCCATGAAAAGGCTGGTAGGCACCAAGGCATGGAGACAGAAAAGCAGAGCAGAGCAAAGCGGCCAGCCAAATGGTACACAGACCGTCAAACAGTCAGAAATTATTTAACACAAGCAAATGTCAAAAAAGTTTTCTTCTAGTTTTTGATATTTTCTTCAGTGTAAAAATAGCCATTATACACCACATGTTAAAAGTTGTTTCATGTTTTCATTAACAAAAGAATTCTACTCAGTCTTCTAACAAAATGCACACAATTCATTAATATACATTTTACTTTTTTAAAAGCAGAGAAACACCAAAAATAAAATACAACTTCCCACCTCAGAGTAGGGAGAGAAAAAAAATTAGGAAGAGACTATTTTAATCTACTGATTTTAGGTTTAGTGTTTAACTCAAAAGGTTATATTAGCAATCAGTAAACAAGCAAGCAATGAAACTTGATTGCAAAGGAAAATTTAAATGTCCAAGTAAACCTTTCCAAGACTCAATGACTTAAGTCAAATGTTTAAAATACTTTTTCTTTAGTTATACATGACAAAGTTTGTTTCTATTTTTTCTCATGGCAAAATCTTATTTCAGAATATACCCACGAATACTAAAAAGGTAATTAACGATAATGTCATAACTTTTACAAATAAATAATTTCAAATTATATTTTACAGACCACATATTAGCCAGCTTCTTAAAAGTAGAGGGCACTTATATAAGCCATTTTTATTTTGAGATTCAAATGTGAGCTGATTCAACAGTTGCCCCACTACTTTCCAACAGTTAATAAGATACATGTATAAAAGCAAACATTCCTCCAAGCAGAACAGTACCTCTGTTTGAGGGTGAAAAAAGAGAGAGAGTCCAATCAAAATCTATTTCAGATTACATCCCATCAAGGGCTACAAGTTTGCAGAACACACAGCCCTAGGGTAACATCTGGGCAATAAAGGAGTGGAGGGGTCCATCTTCATCTGCCTCTCCAACCAATGTTGGACAAATCCAGAGACTGGGAGGACAACTGTGCACGCCTATCATTAATATATAGTTAATATATTAATATATCATTAATATATATAATTAATATATCATTAATATATCGAGGAAAGAAACTATCATCCATTATAAGGCTAGATATAGTTCCATATGCTTTACATCAGGCGTCCCCAAACTTTTTACACAGGGGGCCAGTTCACTGTCCCTCAGACCGTTGGAGGGCCGCCACATACTGTGCTCCTCTCACTGACCACCAATGAAAGAGGTGCCCCTTCCTGAAGTGCGGCGGGGGGCTGGATAAATGGCCTCAGGGGGCCGCATGCGGCCCGCAGGCCGTAGTAGTTTGGGGACGCCTGCTTTACATGCATTATTTAATAAAAATCATTTAATTCTCTCCAAAATGCTGAAAGGTAGACATCAATTTTAGTTTACAGCTAAAATGGCTAAGGCTCAGAGAAGTGAAATAATGCTCGCAAGATCACACAGCCCATAAATGGCAGTTAGACAACTGATTCTAATGCACATGCTCTTTCCATAGCACAGCTACTTTGGTGAGCACTGGGCTGAGGGATTTTAAGAAAGACTGGCAATTCCTGCTTGCTATTTCACTCAACCTATTCCCTATGATCCTGGCTTCCCTGGATTTGGTTTTTCTATCTTCTTTGCTATCTTCCCTATACACTTGATCAAATACTATGAGCTTCTGGCTGAATGCTCTTTTTCTCTCCATCAGGGAGCTCTCATGTATTCTGACATCCTTAATGAACACATCTAAGATGTCCCCATGCTTGACAAGAGCCAACAAATTGAAGTGGTGGTCTAAAAAACTGCAGAAAATTAAGCTGTATTAGTAAAAACAGGGCTGTGGTTAAGGCAAGGAAGCTGATGGATGCCCCGTGCTTGGGGCTGATCAGGCCACATAAGAGTCAAGGTCCGATTTGGAACCCCACAAACAAAAGAGAATTCATAATAAGGTGATGGGTCTGAATGTAGTGACCTAGCACAAGAGAACTGTAGTGTCGGCCTGCAGAAGAGAAAGCAGCCAGTGAGTTCGGAGGAAAACTAAACTTTTTCAAATGTTGGGAGGGTTTCATAGGAAAGAGGCAATAACCTTAATACTTGTTGCATCAAGAAAAATGGATAGTAGTTTCAGGTTAAAAATTCTTGAAAAATTTACAGCTACCTGTAAGTGAAACAATAGCATCTGAAAATAATAAACAATTAGCCTGTAAGATGGTCAAGGAAAGAAGAGTTGATCATAGGCTATGAAAACTGGGAAGGACTTATACTAGGACACCCCAGGAGCCTGTGATACCCAATTCTCTATCTCTAACCGTATATTGTTTTTTGAGCTCAGGTTCTATATTCCCTTAACATCAATATGTCTAGTATTAAAGCCCTTGTCTTTTTCACCCTATCTTCACTCTTTCCATAGCACAGCTACTTTCGTGAGCACTGGGCTGAGGGATTTTAAAAAAGACTGGTAATTCCTGCTTGCTATTTCACTCAACATATTCCCTATGATCCTGGCTTCCCTGGATTTGGTTTTTCTATCTTCTTTGCTATCTTCCCTATACACTTGACCAAATACTATACATGTTAACATTTCAGTTCATTTTAGTTTTTAAGGCTTTTCTGTTTGGGTACCAGTAAAAGGACACACACACACACACACATATATATATACACACACATGAGTGGGGAGGTCCAGAGTTAGTTCATCTTCATCTGCCTCTCCAACCAATGTTAGAGAAGTCCAGAGACTGGGAGAACAACTGTGCATCCTGTAATCACACGACTATCATTAATATATCTAGGAAAGAAACCATACATTTATATATATATATAAATGTGATTATAACATTTATATGTATAATATATAAACCATATATAAATATATATAAACCATACATTTATATATATATTATAAATGTGATATATATAAATGTTTTCGTATATTTTTATATATATAAATGTTTTCATATATTTATATGTGTGTGTGTGTATATATATATATATATATATATATATATATATATATATATATAGTTTTTCTTTGGCATAATCATAATCCAAGTGATTACATCTCATTACTGGATACTGTGAAAGCCTCCTACGTGTTCTTTCTTACCACTATTCCTCCTAAGCCCTTGATTTTTTATTTTGTCAATCCCCTATGAACTTTCATTAGCTCTTCATACTCTACAAGGTAAAACCAAATTCTTCACCCTGGCATTCCAGGTTCTACAAGTCTCCAGCACTCTGTTTGTCTGTGCAGACTCAATTGGATATAAGGTCTCTGCCTCACAGACCTGCTCCCACCCTCCACACCCCTACAGGACCACTGCCTTTGCCAATGAATATCACCAGATATTGCTTAGAACATGTAGCACCCAATCTAATTTCTGACGTGTTCCAATCCCTCAATAAATATCTCTTATGTTGGTTTCATATTACTCCTCAATTCAAAGGCCTATGTAGAGATGTTGTATATTCCATATCATCCTACGATTTGGGGGTGAAAGGAAAGAATGACATTTAGTCTGTCTATAATTGTTCTGTTGCTCAAGAGCTCCCCATGGAGGGGCCAGGGAAGATGCAAGATTAAATTCAATCTGTTTAAACTTAAGGTTATCTAATAATTAAAACAGTTATTAACAAATTGGTCTCTTTTAGATAAAAATGCTCAGATCCTCACTCCTCCTCCTTCTCCCTCTAAGATGGCATCCAGGTGTGGCTTACACCATCCACTACATACCATGCACCATATGGACAAACATAGCTTACCCCATAGTGAAGAGGAAGCCTTGGAATCTTCAGCATGCACAGGATAATTCTGCCTAACCACCTGCATGCTGCTTGCCCTGCTTCATTCTTAAATGAAAGCTGTTGGCTACCATAGCTTAGGATTCAATCAGTATAGTCTTGACTGAGGCCCAGTGGTGATTCAGCCTCTCTTAGCTCCCATGGGCAATTTAGACCCCTCTCTGTTTGAGTATGACTCACATTTGTCTCTAGTATATATGTTCCATCTCCACTGCTCCTTTTAGAGCCACTTCACTTCCTCTACGGCAACACCCTCTGGAAACCTCCAGACCAGATGCTCAGACACTTCTCTAATTAGCCCTTGCTACAGAGAAATAGTGAGTGGCATAGGGCACAGTCAGTCTCAGCTCTTTCTTCCTGACCACACTGTTCTGCCAAACTCACTGAAAGCTGGCTGCACCCAAGGGTGGCAAAACCCAGGCTATGAAGCAGCATATTCGCAGATCCTGCCCCTTCCACCCACTACCCCACAAACCAAAAGAACGAATTGAAATACAGGCATAAATACTTTATTCTCCTCCTCCACTTTCTCTTTTTCGCTCATTATTCTCCTAGGATCTTTTTTTTAAATGTCAGAAGATTCTTCTATTTGTAGATTTTCTATTTAAAAAGTAGCAAGAAAGAAAGGAAAGGAAAAGACATATTCCTTTAGACAGCTGAATACCTCTAATGATCAGAATGAAGGAAAGAAAAAGAGAGAGAGAGAACTAATTTTAATATATGAAATCCAATTTACTGGCAATGACTCACTATTCCCACGAGGTAGCTTTATTCATATTATGTCTCAATTGTGTCCTGTTCCCAAACAATTGAATATGCCACTTATTCTTAAAATATTCTCACAACTTCCCTTCTGCATATTTGAATCTTACCCATTTTCAAGCCTAGCTCATTATTCTTTCTCTGTGAAACCTGATTTTACTATAATATAATGACCTCTCACAGTAAACCTCTACTGAGTTAATAGCTCCTTTTTATTAAATATCTGGTGGTTTGTTTTTATATTGCCTAAGAATTATTATATTTTTGAAATTTTACATAAAATAATCACTTCGTATTGAAAATTGTACTTTAGCAGGAAGAAAAAAACGAAGACAATATCGGTTTTCACCATTTGGGCAAGAGAAGAAATCAAGAGCTGTCATCTAAAGAAAATATTGTCCAGAAAAGAGAAAAAGATTTGTCCCTTTCTGAAGCCAGGGAGAATAACCAAAGTAGTAAATCCCAAAATCATTTCACAAATAGACAGAGACCGAATGAAGATTATAGTATCAGTAACAAAGAGAATGTCTACGATGGCCTGAAGATGTCAGTTTATTCTGAGTCAACTGGGAATAAAGGGTTTGAAGATGGAGTTGACGCTATCAGCAAACTACATGACCAAGAAGAATATGGCGCAGCTCTCATCAGAAATGACATGCAACATATAATGGGGCCAGTGACCGTGATGAAACTTCTGGAGGAAGAAAACAAAGAGAACAAACCTAGGAATGTTCTAAACAAAATTCCTGCAAGAATAAACTATGCTAAAGCACACTTGAAGGATAAAAAGAAGCCTCAAGGAGATTCCCAAGCCCAGAAAGGCCTAGTAAAAAGCAAAAGCACCCACCACATTCAACACAACATTGACTACTTAAAACACCTCCCAAAGGTCAAAAAAATTCCCAGTGATTTTGAAGGCAGTGGTTATACAGATCTTCAAGCAAGAGGGGACAATGACGTATCTCCTTTCAGTGGGGACGGCCAACCTTTTAAGGACATTCCTGGTAAAGGAGAAGCTACTGGTCCTGACCTAGAAGGCACAGATCTTCAGACAGGGTTTGCAGGCCCAAGTGAAGCTGAGAGTACTCATCTTGACACAAGAGAACCAGGTTATAATGAAATCCCAGAGAGAGAAAAAAATGGCAAACATACCATTGGAAGCAGGGATGAAACTGTGAAAGAGGCAAGTGGTGTTGATGTCAGCCTTGTAGAGGGCAGCAACGATATCATGGGTAGTACCAATTTTAAGAAACTCCCTGGAAGAGAAGGAAACAGAGTGGATGCTGGAAGCCAAAATGCTCACCAAGGGAAAGTGGAATTTCATTACCCTCCTGCGCCCTCAAAAGAGAAGAGAAAAGAAGGCAGTGGTGATGCAGCTGAAAGTACCAATTATAATGAAATTCCTAAAAATGGCAAAGGCGGTGCCAGAAAGGGTGTAGATCATTCTAATAGGAACCAAGCAACCCTAAATGAAAAACAAAGTTTTCCTAGTAAGGGCAAAAGTCAGGACCTGCCCATTCCTTCTCGTGGTCTTGATAATGAAATTAAAACCAAAATGAATTCCCTTAATGGCCCCAGTAATGAGAATATAATAACACACAGCAGAAAATATCATTATGTACCCCATAGGCAAAATAATTCTATGGGGAGTAAGGGTACATCACAAAGGAAAGGCTCCTGGGGTAGACAACCCCATTCCAACAGGAGGTTTAGTTCCCCTAGAAGAGACGAGAGCAGTGATTCATCTGACAGCAGCAGTTCAAGTGAGAGCAGTGGTGACTAGTGCACCAGGAGTTCCCAGCAGGGTGACGCTCTGAAGCCCTCGCCACCTGTGAGTTGACGTAGAGGAGAGCTATCTGACAGCTGACCAGATGAAGAGAGGACAGAGTGAAGAACTGAGTGAGCCAAGAATCCTTGTTTCCTTGGGGGAATTTTTGCTATTTTAATAGTCATGACATAAAATTCTATTAAAGTTATAACATTTTTAAGAAAAATATTACAGATTTGTGAAATAGGTAACATTTGAGTAGATATCATTTAAAAATAATTTGTGAATGTCACAAATGCCTTCATGTTGTTTGCTCTGTAGACATGAAAATAAACAATATCTCTCTATGATCATTTGTATTAAGCGATCTATAAGAAACTCTGTTGTCTGTGGTGCTTCATTTCAGAGGCAACCAGCTTAGTTCTGCCTCCAGCAAGGGAAGTGCTTTTGAAATTGACCCGCTGGAGAAATCTCAGGTGTGCTCCTCCACCCTCTCTGCTTGAGCCAGCCATTCCTTTTCCCTCTGACCTCCCTCTATGCTGATAAAGAGATCTCCGTATTTTCTTACACTCTTTCCTCTGTTGCACACATTGCACATATCCTAAGGCGAATATCCGCTCCTGAAACAAATATCCATATTATCATTTTTCTTGGTTCTACCTCCTTCCAGACAAAGAGGACAATAGGCTAGAGGGTGGGCAAGAGGGAAAATTTGAGGAGAAACACAAATGCAAAGCCAGGACAAAAACTTTGTTGGAGAAATATCATTCATTGTCTCATCCCAAATCATTTCCACACTGTTTCTTTCTCTTGTCTTTCAGTGTAGATGTTTTTCCAGCTAATAATGGCTTTGTGTCACTGTTCCGGAAACTAGACCCAAGTCTCCTTGGTTAGGCAGGAGGGAAGAGCTCTGGGAGGCTTTTGCCCCTCCTGATAAGATGAACTTATGTAGCTGGTGTACCTTTCTCCTTCTTGACCTTTTCTTGGCTTGACGTGAACCTGATGACTGGAGGAGCAGCCATGCTGTGGCCATGAAGGAAAAGACAAAATAATCATAGAGGAACCACTGAACCAGCTCCATCATCAGCCTCCTGCCTCCACAATCTTTGTCCTGTGAGAAAAAAAAAAAAAAAGCTCCTTTTCAGCCATTGTTTGGAATTTTTGTTGCCGTTGTTATTGGCAGCTGAATTGAATTTTTAATTGATGTACCTTTCTATTCTTAACATTCCTCCAAATTAGAAAGGCCAAGAGAAGAAAGGAGAGAGGTAGGGAATAGAGAAAGAAAAGTGCACACAATTCCTCTGCAACATGTAAGTTCCCAAACAACAGAAATCATGACTGAGACAGTCTGTACAGCACCTAGATTATTAAGTTAAATAATGTATGTAGCAAAAGTCAAGTCAATATGAATATATTACATCACCTTCAAAAAATCTAAACTCCCACATTGGGTAGATAGAGGGTGCTTCGTTTACTAAATGAAAGTGGTAATGTAAGCTATTGAATAAATCAGACTCTCAAGATACACAAATAATAATGGCTAACATAGTTACCATGAGCTGTGCTGTTACGTCCTTTAATCTGCACAGCTACTCTATAATATGGATACCATTATTACCCCCATTTTACAGATGAAGAAACAGACACAGATCTGTAAGTATCTGCTAATAAGCTAGGATTTATACCCGAGGAGTCTGGTTCCAGAGTCTTTGCTCTTAAACAGTCACTAAATTGTCATATATTTCAAAGATAAATATACATAATATACGCAAACATATATGACTGTGTATATACATAAACATTTATATACACACGTTTACATAGAGTATGTGTATATTCATCCACATATGTGAATATGTGTGAGTATATTGTGTGTTCATGAGTGCACCCACACACAGAGAGAGAGAAACTTGAAAGAATGCAAAATGGAACCTAAAAACAAGGAATATCTTTTTGCCTCATTTGCTCCCCATCTTCTGGAAATAACAGATCAGAAGCAGGGAAAGGACTCAACGTATCACCCAATGTTACCATCAGAAGTCCAGAGTAAACTATTCCTAGTACTTTTCTTTTAAAAAAATAAAAGACAATTTGGGCAAAACAAAACACTGAAAGCAATTAATGAAGTAAAACAAAAATCTATTAGAATTTAAATTGCAGATTAATAAATTAAAATCAAGCTTCCCAGAGCTCTTCCCTCCTGCCTAACCAAGGAAACTTGGGTCTAGTTTCCAGAACAGTGACACAAAGCCATTATTAGCTGGAAAAACATCTACACTGAAAGACAAGAGAAAGAAACAGATTTATATCAGACTTTAACATGTGAAAGTCTGATAACAGAAAAACACTTGGCTTGGTTTAAAAAAAAATACAATCTGATGGAGAAAAGCGAGTGCTTTCGTTGGGTAAACACAGGTGGACCTTTCCAAAAGTCACTTGTCCTAGTCTGCCATCTAGTGGAGAAAGTGCATATTTCAATTCCGTGGTCCGATTTTGTTTCCTCTCTCCAAAGCTTTAGGGTTCATGAATATTTCTTCAAAACACTGAAAATGTTCATATTTTTTTCATCCAGTTAAGATAAACTAGAAGTGTGTCAGTATCCATGATGCATTGCTATTTGATGCAGACGTGGAGGAATTAGTCCAAAGACAAAGGATCAGAGATCCACAAAGAGCCAGCAGTCAGGAGTGAGGCCATGCCTTTTCCAAAGCCATGTGTTAGCCATCAAAGCTGCACTAACCTCAGTTACAACACACACGCGTGCGCGCGCGCGCACACACACACACACACACACACACAGACGAGAGAGAGAGAGAGAGAGAGAGAGAGAGAGAGAGAGAAAGAGAGTGAGAGAGAGAGAGATTTCTGTTTCCGAAATTGGGCAAAGAATTTCAGCCTCACGTAGCTGCCTTATAAGGGATGATGGACATTGACCTAGCCTGCCACCTTGTGCTCAAAAAGTAAAGCTCACTGTACCAGTCCTGGGAGCAGGCTCCAGTTCCGTCATTTATTTGCAGCCCTGGTACTCCTGGTACTCCCTCCAACCTCTCCTTCCTGGACCTCTCTGCTTGTAAATATTTACCTTGATTTTAGAATACTAATTAATCTGTTCTTGGCAAGTCCAGAAGTCAGGATAATGTGTCTGACTTTGTCTGAAATAACATTTAGCTCAGTAGAAAAATATTTATTGAACGACCATCTTTTACAAAATTATTCGGAGATCAAAAGAAGAAGAGATGATCTTGGTCCTTATCAAGACTATAAGGAAGTAAAGAGAAAGTCATACAAAGGATACAAGGGAGAATGTATTAAACAATAAAAATATAAGTAAAGCGAGACAGGAGTTCTGAGGAGATGAATTCTAACTGAAGGGAAGAACCAGGGGATAGTAAAATCTATTTTCCTTAACATATTACACATGTAGAGAGGCTGCAGATAGTAAGTCTCACAGGTAAATAAGAGCTTAGCAGTAGGTAACCTTAAGTGATCCCATGCGTAGTTCAGAGCTTAAGGCAGGTCTCCCCAACCAGAGGATGGGGAAGGAGTTGTGAGCGAGGTCAGGGGAGCTGGAAGGAAGAAGACCAGTCAGGAGGAAGCCACTCAGCAGGCTTTCTCTGCCTGTGGTCTAGAACAGGCATTTTGTTGTCTCCTCACTCTGCCTTTACGGCCTGCCTTGAACTAAGTAGGAGCTCAAGACAGTGTAAGTTTCAAAGACATTATGATGCTTTTACAGAAGTCCACCTTTCAAAAACAACTTCTCTATGAAAAAGTAAACTCTTAGGCCGGGCGGGCGCGGTGGCTCAAGCCTGTAATCCCAGCACTTTGGGAGGCCGAGGCGGGTGGATCACGAGGTCAAGAGATCGAGACCATCCTGGTCAACATGGTGAAACCCCGTCTCTACTCAAAATACAAAAAATTAGCTAGGCATGGTGGCGTGTGCCTGTAATCCCAGCTACTCAGGAGGCTGAGGCAGGAGAATTGCCTGAACCCAGGAGGCGGAGGTTGCAGTGAGCCGAGATTGTGCCATTGCACTCCAGCCTGGGTAACAAGAGCGAAACTTCGACTCAAAAAAAAAAAAAAAAAAAAGAAAAAGTAAACTCTGCTAGTCCAGAGAATGATACTTACAGTCATAGGCATTAAAATATAGTAGATGACCCAAAGGAAAAGGAAAAGAAATAGATGATTCTGGATGAAAACCAGGAAGAAAGCAATTGGGGCTGAAAGAGAAAGGGGCAGAAAAATGGTTAGAAAAAACTTAATGAGGAAATCTGGAAAGAAAGGAGAACAAAACTCCAATACAATCCTACATCCAGAAATCCAAACGAGCATAATGTCAAAAATGATGAGTGGACGCACACAAAAGCTGCAAGGAAATCTACCTGAAGCCATGGTTTAGACTTCCGAGAATAAGAACCCGAAGAGCTGTTTCATTAAAGGAACAATACTTTATCAATTTATGGGCATGCATTAGTGTAACAAAAACACTGTCTAGAAGTGACTCTTGCTGGATTTGAATTTTAAGTAGATTTTTACAACTGTTAGGTTAATGTATTAATAATAGAAGTCAAACAATTTTAAATAATTTTCACTTAAAACAAGAACCTGAGGAAGACAGAAGTATTAGGTTGGTGCAAAGTAATTGCCATTACTTTTAATGGCAAAAACATTAATTACTTTTGCACCAACATAATATTATGTGAAGAAAGCAAGTTGTCTATTTAGCAAAGAGGTAGTTCTGAGCAGGACAGCTGGGGCTGATCTTAGAAACACTGCATTAATCAGTGAATGGAGTAATATTTGTGATATAAGCCATGAATGGGGACCAGAGATTTCCATTTTTAACAGGTTCCTCAATTGATTTTAATGCAAGCCAAAGTGTGAAATCACTAATATGGATGTCTTTCCCAGTCACCTTCAAATCAGTCACCTAGGTCTCTCACAAATCTATGGCTAAGCCAGACCTTCCCCTGTATTAACCTGGCATTGCAGGAATGTTTCTGTCTATGATGAAAAATAGCTTGTCCTTGTAGATGATCTCATATCAACAAGTAATAAAAATATCACTTAAAGTGAATGTATAAGGCCGGGCGTGGTGGCACACACCTGCAATCCCAGCACTTTAGGAGGCTGAGGTGGGACAAATCATCTGAGGTCAGAAATTTAAGACCAGCCTGGGCAACACGGTAAAACCCCATACCTACTAAAAATACAAAAATTAGCCAGGCCTCGTGGCACAGACCTATAATGCCAGCTACTCAGGGGGCTGAGGCAGGAGAATCACTTGAACCTGGGAGATGAAGGCTGCAGTGAGCCAAGATTGTGCCACTGCACTCCGGAATGGGTGACAGAGCAAGACTCTGTTTCAAAAAAATAAATAA